AGGCGCTCTACGGTAGGAGGTGTCGTACACCTACCTGCTGGTCGGAGGTTGGGGATCGTGAGTTGTTTGGCTTGGACTTTGTCCAAGATACCACCTTGCAGATCCAGATGATCCGTGAAAAGTTGAAGCAGGCGCAGAATCGCCAGAAGAGCTACTATGATGTTAAGCATCGTCCGCTGGAGTTCAGTGAGGGTGAGCACGTGTTTGTGAGACTTTCACCTGTCACCGGTGTAGGTCGGGCACTCGGAGTGAGGAAGCTGAGCCCGCGATATATTGGGCCATACCAGATTCTTGGTAGAGTAGGACCTGTTGCCTACCGGCTTGCCTTGCCTCCGAACCTGGCCAACATCCACGACGTGTTTCACGTGTCTCAGTTTCGGAAGTACATAGAAGATCCATCGCACGTGGTGCAACCGGATGATGTGGAGGTTCGGGAGAACCTAAAGACTCCCGTCAGACCACTCAGAATTCTCGATCGTGGCGAGAAACAGCTGAGGAGCAAGATTATTCCTATGGTCAAGGTGCAGTGGACCGGAAGGACTCCTGAGGAGTGTACTTGGGAGCGTGAGGACGAGCTTCTCCAGCAGTACCCCGAGTTTTGACCAGGTATGTTTCTGATTTTGAGGTCAAAATCCTAAAAAGGTGGGGTGAATGTAAGAACCTGCACCGTTAATTAAGGTATTTAATTAATTAATTATGTGAAAATTAGGAAATGATTCCATAATTGACCCTAATAATTATTTATGAGGCTTTATAATCATAATAAGTGATTAAGAATGCTGAAAGTCGCTTTTCGGAAAAAAAAGTGCATATACCGGTTCTGCTAGTCGGTATAAATGCGTGCCGAAAAAGTATCCCGGAAAATTAAAGTAAGTGCATGATAATTACTAGAATAATATGTAGGACTTGTAAAACGAGTTTCAAGTCCAAATAATGAGAACTGGTGCTAGAAACCGGTACTGGCTTTGAAAAGCGCGTACCAGAAAGGTGCTCAGAAAATTATAAGAAAAATATGATAAATCTTAGAAAATTATGTAGTTTCATAATCCAAAGTTTGGGATTAAAATGCTAAGCGTAGCAATTAAAGTTAATACTGTGTGTTTAAGTGTGTTTGGGCTATAAATACTCCCATTATGGGCACAAAACCCTAGGATCAGATTTTTATACGTGACTTGGTGGCTGAGTGCACCTTGGCACTGTTCCATTGCTGTGTTCTTCTTCCTTGAGAGTCTTGGAGCCATTTCTTCCTTGTTCTTTGTGGTTTCTTCTTCTTAAACACTTGTGTGAGGGAGAGTCACCTTTGGGAAGAGGATTGTGGTGTTGTTTCTGAGTTGTGAATTCTGTGTGAGGGAGGTTTGGTTGCTGACTTGTTGGTTTTGGGTTGAGAGGAGCTTGGTTTTGGATTTTGGAGGTCCAAGTGGTGACCTTTGTGTTAAAGAACCAACCTTTGTGAAGCCATTTTCGTGCATCTTCCTTGAGTCAGACTTGAGGGGCTGCGTTGAGCTCCAAGAGCATCTCCATTCTGAGTTTTGAGCCTTGGTATGTTGTATCAACCTTTAACTTGAGTTTTAAGGCTTAAAAATGGTACCTTGATGCGTTTAATGACTAAAAGATGATAACTTGTTGTTGGGTAATGATGAACACGCCTAGAAATGCATGAATTGATGTTTAAAATCGGTATAAAGGGAACCTTTAAGGGATATCTTCACGAAAATGCAGAAACTGCATTCTGTCGTGAAATATCCGGATATTTGTCGAACTGATATCCAGATATTGGATATCCGGATATGTGGTTTTGGGATATTCGGATATTGGATATCCGGATATGTGAATCTGTATATCCGGATATTGCATATCCGGATATGGACAGTGAGATATCCGGATATTCTGGGATTTCGTGGAACAGTAGTTGTGTTGTGTGTACAGTAGGCTATTGGGGGTTTGTGGACCCTAGTTTGATGAAGTTGAACTTCTGTATTTAATGGATTAAGCCAGAATCATGGGATTAAGGGCTTGTGGCTTTGTTAGAAGCTTTAAGACTTGAAAACGTAATGAAAAGGCGTTGTCTTTAATTTGTATGCATGTGGTACATGTTTATTGATTTATAATTGGTCCATATCAGATTGTGATCTGCTGTGATTGGACTTTGAGCTTGTGGCATTGGATAGCTAGCTTAGAGGTAAGCTTTCGTGTCCTCGGTTTAGCCATGTTGTGGTTCCACCATGTCCCATGGGGGTATGGTTTATGCATGTTGTGTACATGCTTTTGGATATTTGATATGTTGATTGAACTTTACATGTAATGGCTTTTAATATGCATGTGTTGTTTCATCTTGACGGGAAGCCTGAGTATGTAGCGCCATACAAGACGGTGTACCGGGGTGAATGCAAGTGGTACTTACACGGTGTGTAGGTGATAGACGTATACCTGCACTGTCTCTGGCCAGTAGATTAGTATTGACACACATGGCATGATTATCTGCTGCATTGCATTGTTTTAGAAATGATAAATGATAAATTGCTTTTGAACTTATATTGCACATGTAAGTGAGCTTGGGGTGGAAGATCCTTGAGGACCCCTTGTCTTACTGAGATTTCTAGTTTAGAGATCTCACCCCACGTTTGGGGAATGCTTATTTCAGGGTCAGGTAATGTTGAGACCTCAGGCGGCAGGAGGCCAGAGCTGAGTTAGATTACTGTTATATTATGCTGCCATGATTGGATGCTGGATTTGCATGCTGTTTATATGCTTATAGCTTCAGTTATGTTTATGGAGTTTATGTTGAGACTGGTTGTGACTATGTTTATTTGGTGAGCATGGGATTGTCTATGACACATAGTGTTGTTATGTCTTGATTATGTCTTGAGTCTTTTGGAGTTGTAATAATGTATCAGGATATTGTCCGGATTACTTGATGTAATGCCGTGATTTAGATACACACTTTATCTATATATTGAGGTATTTCAGTAGATGTCTTATTGCAATTTACATACATGCGTTATTTTATGAAATTGATTAAGTAATCAAGTTGGTAATTGATAATGACGTCATAATTGAAAAGAAAAAGAATATTCCGCATTTTTAATTAAGCACCGCTTAATACGATGTAATGTTAATATTTCGGGTATACACGTGGTGTTACAATGGGCCTATGGGTTAGACCTACACTGTTAACCACACTAATCAGTGTACAAATATCCAAGCCCAAATCAAAAGGATCACTAATTAACTGGGTTTTGTACTGCACCCCTATATGGATCATGACTTAGCCCGTTTTTATTAAAACAAGAAAAACTATAATTGATTGAAGCCCAAAATTATTATAAAAATTTCTAACATGTTTGGCATCACTCTAGAGTCCAAATATATTTTAGAGTAAACACCCTTTTTAGTCCCTGTCAATATCTACGAAGTCCTTTTTAGTCCCTGGCAATAAAAAAGGACTAAATTGGTCCCTGAAATTACAAAAAAGGGACTTTCAGGGACCAATTTGGTCCTTTTTTATTGCCAGGGACTGAAAAAGGACTTCGTAGATATTGCCAGGGACTAAAAAGGATGTTTACTCTATATTTTTTATGTACTTGAATATTTTTCTTTCTTAGTGTCAGTGACTCTTTCATTTTGAGCTTTCAAGCAAAAGTATTACATGCTTTCAAGCACCCTGCACCCAGATTTATCTTGCTGGTCTTAGTGTTCTTCTTTGCCACTATTTTGTCTCTTCGCGCCACTGCTAGTAGCGTCAGCCAGCCTATGTGGCATGTGCGCATCTGCTGCAGAGTGTCAATTCTTGTTCAATTGTAATTGTTCCCTGCCAGGTTCTTTCACTTCCTTTAATAAAATAATGAAATGTTGAACAAAACACCAAATAAACAACTTTTATTTGTTGTCTTTTTGTGGAATAACAGTGGGTGGGGAGTCTGGGGACCATGGGTTTTAGTAAATTTTTATTATAAAATTGGGAAATGCTTATTTGTTTGTTTGTGTTGTCGTTGATCGGTGAAACTGGATTGGGTCATCTAGGATAAAAAAATCCATGTTATATAGAATACTTTTTCATTTTTATGTTCCAAACACTGATTTAAAACTCACTAGTAAATTGTATTTAAGAGAATTCATAGGGTTCTAATTATCTAAAATTAGTGTAGTTTTATTGAAATAATGATATTTTAAACAAAATCCCTAATACACAAAACCCTTAGTGGGTGGGGACCGTGGGGTGTTAGTAATTTGTTATAAAATTTAAAATTAGGAAATGCTTCAATTTGTTTTTTTATGTTGTCCCTTTATGTACTCAAATACTCATCATGTCTCCATTTTCTCACTATGTATTTAGAATAGCATAGTATTGCTCTCATAATATAATCAACTATTGCCTTATATTTTTCTCTTTTATTTGCTTTTTTGTTATTTGTCTAAATCTTTTTGCTCCCTCATCCATTTGACATAAATATGATATTTGTTTAGCTACTTTAATATAAATGTCTACCTACAAATTGACATGTAGGTTGAAAAAGTATGGGCAAGGATAAACAGAAAAGTATAGATGTGTTCTTTAAAAAGAAAATAGTCTCTGAAAGTGAATCAAGTGATGCTCCCACGAACATAATTTCTGAAATTGGTGCACCTTCTCATGAGCAATCTCCTTCAAAGTGTCGTAGAATTGAACATATTGATGATGTTATTATGGTCAAAAATAAAATTTTTGAACAAGATCCAGGCCAACGTAAGCCAATTTGGGAATATTTAGCTAATGAAGTCAACCTAAATGCTCTTATCCATTTTCAAAAGAAAAACATCATCGACGTTTTCAAGCTTCTTGGTTCAAAGAATTTTCTTCGTGGCTTGAGTATTCACCTTGTATAGATGCTTCATTATGTTTACCATGTTATCTTTTCACTACAAAGGTCGATGGGCGACATGGTTAGAATGCGTTCACAATCAAAGGTTTTAATGGTTGGAATAAAGTTCATAGTGGCAAGTATTGTGCTTTTTTAAGTCACATGGGAGATGATCCTTGTTCACAACATACTAATGCAATTATCTCATGTGTGGACTTAATGAATCAGTCTTGTCATATTGATAAAGTTATGCATGCTCAAAGCTCCCAACAAATTGAAAAAAATAGGTTGCATGTTAAGACTTCAATTGATGTTGCTCGTTGGCTTGCTTTTCAGGGGTGTGCTTTTAGAGGACATGATGAGACTATTAATTCAAGAAATAGTGGTAATTTTATTGAAATGATCAAACTTTTGGCATCTTACAATGAAAAAGTTGCAGATGTTGTTCTAATGAATGCTCCATTGACAGCCAAGTATACCTCACCTCAAATACAAAGAGAGATTTTACATGTTCTAGCAGACAAAGTGCGAAAACAGATTCTGCTGGATATCAGGGACTATAAGTTTTGTATTATTGTGGATGAATCACGTGATGAATCAAAAAGGGAACAAATGGCTCTTGTCTTGAGATTTGTTGACAAAGATGGTTTTATAAAAGAGAGATTTTTTGATCTTTATCACGTTCAAGATACATCTTCTATGACACTTAAAAATGCTATTAGTGACATACTCTCACATCATTGCCTTGATATCCAAAATATTCGTGGCCAAGGATATGATGGTGCTAGTAACATGCGTGGTGAATGGAATGTATTGCAAGCATTGTTTCTTAATGAATGTCCTTGTGCTTATTATGTGCATTGTTTTGCCCATCGATTACAATTAGCCTTGATTGCTGCCTCTAAGGAAGTTTCTTCTATTTATCAATTCTTCCAGAATTTGAATTTCATCATTAATATTGTCACTGCTTCTTCTAAGCGTCATGATCAATTCCAAGCTGCCCAAATTTCTGAATTTGAACATTTGCAGGCTATTGGTGAGCTTGAAACTAGTACAGGTTTTAACCAAGTAGGTACACTAAAGAGGGCTAGTGATACAAGATGGGGTTCTCATTTTTATTCTATAGTCTTCAACGAGGGTATAATGAATCATGTTCAGTACTTGAAAAAATTCGCAGTGAAGGCTCAAATTACTCTCAAAGAGGGGATGCTACTGCAGCTTATAAGATGATCACTTCTTTTGAGTTTATCTTTAATTTACTTTTGATGAAGGAGATCATGGGCATCACTGAAATTCTTTGTCAAGCATTACAACAAAAATCTCAAGATATTTTGAATGCTATACATTTAGTTTCAAGTACAAAGGAACTTATTCAAGAATTACGAGATGGTGGTTGGAAAAGAATACTTGAAAGCGTTGTCAATTTCTCCAAGCTTCATGAAATAGATGTTCCAGATTTTGATGCTCAATATATTGAAGGTCGTGGCCATCGACAACATGAACAAATAACTATTGAGCATCACTATCATTTTGATATTTTTAATTCAACCATTGACTTTCAGTTACAAGTGTTAAATAGAAGATTTAACGAGCAAGCAATGAAACTTTTATCACTTAGCTCTTCATTAGATCCGAAGAATGGTTACAAAGCATTCAATGTTGATGATATTTGTAGCCTTTCAGAGAAATATTATCCTCTTGATTTTTCTGAGCAAGAGAGGATTATTTTGAATTGTCAATTAAAGCATTTTCACAAAGACATCCCAAAACATCCAAAACTTCAAAATTTATCTTCAATTTCTGAGTTGTGTCAAGGATTAGCTCAGACAGGAAAGTCAAATTCCTATCATTTGGTTGATAGGCTAATTCGTCTTATCTTAACACTACCAGTTTCAACCGCAAGTGATGAATGTGCATTCTTAGCAATGAAAATTGTGAAAACAAGACTTCGAAACAAAATGGAGGATGACTTTCTTGCAAATAATTTAATTGTGTATATTGAAAGAGAGATTGCTGAAACTTTTACTACAGATTCTATCCTTGAAGATTTTGTCAGTTTAAAATAGCGTCGTTTACAATTTTAGGTATGTAATTCTTTATTATATTTTAAATTTTTTTATTTAATGTTGTTATACATATAATTATTATATTTATGTGTATTCATATCCTTAGGATAATGCTTGGTTCATTACTTATTATGCTGTGGGAGACAAGTTAGATTCTTATGTTTGGAATGCTTATCAGAAATGTTAATGCCTTTTTATATGTTTGTTTTGATATATGATCATTGACAATTGTTCATTTCAATTTTCAATACTATGTTACATTATTTAGTAAATAACTTAGATAAGTATGCTAGAATTCATAGTAAAAATTTTCCTAATAAATTTGTGTATTTACGATAAATATTTTGATAATTTAATATGTCAAATTTTTTGGCATGGGCTAAACTAAAATTCTGGCTCCGGCAGTGATTGTAATGTGGGCCAGCATTGAAATTCTGCTACGAATCTTACAACTCAACCACTTGTATTTTTTTTTTAATTGGGTGTGAATTGTCACATGATTTATGCTTTAGTTTAAGAATGAGAATGAGGAAAATAAACACTAGAAAAGTCAGCTACGATCTTTCATTGCTGCTATATTTGACTTCTGATGCAGATTTTATAACTTTCTATGTTTTCTGAGGATGATGTTGAGCTTGAACAATCGCAGAAGGTGGTATATATGGTGAGTTTATTACTTTTTCTTAATCAACTCATTGAAGAATCAATAGAAGAAAACGTGAACTTAGACTAGGAGACTAATGTTAAATTGGCTTTTCTTGTGGAGTTCAATGTAGTAGACTAGTAGTGTATCTTTGTGACTTTGTCAATGAAGAGTTATTATTTTGAAGGAAAAAAAAATCTTTCCAAAAATATATCTGAGTATCATTCTAACTTGATTCCATTGTATTTTGAATTCAAAATTTAAAATAATATAGTCCTATAACATTATCTGAAGAACCAATTCAACCCAAAAACTTAAACTATTGGGTGGAGGCTTTTTTAATAATTTATATTATTCTCTAACACGCCATCTCACACGAGAGTTCACTTGCTTGAAAGGTAGACAATGTACAGATCACTTATAGGTACTAACAAATTCAACCCAAAAACTTAAGCCGTTGGGTACGAGCCTTTTTAATAGTTTATATTATTCTTTAACACAATCATTATTGTGTCTCTAATATATAATCAAATATATATGATTGAGAAGTGAATGTTGGTCTTGAGATTGAACATAGGGCATAAAAGATAGCAAAGAGAAATTTACAAATAACAATTTCACTATGCCAAGGTATAAATTCCGAGGATGTTAAACTTTTCAAGTAGATATCTCACAGATATGTAGGTGATGAGGTGGCATCAGATAAGACAAATTGAGTGACAAAGTTGTACTAGTACTTACAAGAAATGAAGCTGTTAACGTGTGGTAGAAAATAAATTTGACCCTTGATATCAAACGGGGTGTAGATCTGATGAACAATAACATTTAATACTTGAAACCGAAAGTGCTGCAACTTGTAACCAATGGTTATAGGGTATGCACCTCTTGATGGTGTTAGTCATTAGGCCTATTGCATTGTGAATAACTTGTTTGCACCCATTTTGTTTTTGTTCTATAAGATATTCAATTGCAAGCCCAGTCCATGCCCCTTTTGGCTCAAGTTTCCTAATTAATCTTACTGCTATCTAGCTAGTCCTCCTGCAGTTGAATAATTTTACCCTTTTCCAATAATTTTCTTTTTTTCAATTTGTCCCGCAATAATGCAATTGCAGTATTGGTGATTGTGACAAGTAGACATGCAAGTAGTACAATAAAATTGCCAAGTGTGCAGGCATGATCCATTACATAAGCAGTTTGCTTGCAAAAAGTCAGTGCAAGAACCTATGCAGAAGCCATAAGATGCGAGTAATTCAGATTAGATGAGAACCAGGATAATGACAATGTGGTCACAAAGATAATGACAGAAATAGGCACAAAGATGATGATTATGATTATGATGATGGTGATATAATTAAATAATGATCATGATATATCATCATTATTAAGATCCAGATTGAGCTTTGATTGTTCTAAAGTTTTTTTTTTAATGATTTTTAAATTGAAACTAAACTAGTTCCTAGCCCAATTATTAGAGAAGTATAAAACCATTCATGTAGTCTCATCCAACAATTTAAGTTTTTAAGTTGAATTGGTTCTTTATATGGTACAGAGTCTCCGTGATTAAGTGATTACGAGTTCGATCCTCTCCGCCTCCCGTTCAGTTAATAAATAATTAAGTATTGTGAGATTTCATAGCACAGGTAGGCTAGGCCTGATGTTGTTGCGACTTCGACAAGTGCATCGGTCGTACAAGTAGTATAGTGTAAAATAGTGGGATTGTCGTTCCTACGAGGACTGATTACCAATCACTAACTTATAAAGTTGGATTGATCTTAAAATGGATTTGTTGAGAGAATTAATTTAATTTATAAAACAGAATTTTTAAAGAACTTATTTTTAATTTTCAATATTTAAGAAATCAAGAATTGAATTCAAAACTTAATAATATGAAGAAAACGGTTTTTAACTTTTAATAAAAGACGTAACCAGGAACTCGACTTCCCCAATAGTTTCTCAACGAGTTTAACTTTCATGCAATTAAAGTTCGCAATCAATTATTGACAATTCTTTCTTATACAACTGACTCCCCAATCCCTTGGTGGTTTCAGTTCTTTACTTTATTCCAAGGCTCTAATCCCTTAGGGTCTTTTTTTAAAGCAAGCTTTAAGGTCAAGAATTATGCGTCATGAAATTCGTAAGACTATCTCTAGAACATACAAACTCCAACAATTAACCAATCGGATTAAAGCATACAATATCCCTATTAGCATGCAAAAATCTAATGCTCATTCACAATTGATCAGATCATAAATAAGACTATGAATTTAACTTTCATAGTCTTATTGACAATGACGTAACCAGGAACTCGACTTCCCCAATAGTTTCTCAACGAGTTTAACTTTCATGCAATTAAAGTTCGCAATCAATTATTGACAATTCTTTCTTATATAACTGACTCCCCAATCCCTTGGTGGTTTCAGTTCTTTACTTTATTCCAAGGCTCTAATCCCTTAGGGTCTTTTTTTAAAGCAAGCTTTAAGGTCAAGAATTATGCGTCAAGAAATTCGTAAGACTATCTCTAGAACATACAAACTCCAACAATTAACCAATCGGATTAAAGCATACAATATCCCTATTAGCATGCAAAAATCTAATGCTCATTCACAATTGATCAGATCATAAATAAGACTATGAATTTAATACAGATTAATTGCATCATCAAAGGTTAAACAACGTGCAAGAACCCATTGGCTTCGTTTCGCCCTAACTACATAAAAAAATTTAGCCTAGCATGTTCATAACAACAGAATTAAAAGATGAAAATAAACTATAATGGTTCACATAAACTTAGCAGGAAATTTAATTGGTGATTCTTCTTTTATTGTTATCTCTTTCTTTCTCCTCTTCGATCGTGCTCCAGAAGTCTTCTCTGCTTCTTGTCTTTTTGCAATCTTTCGCTCAGAGTTTTTGTCGTCTTCCGAATGAATTACACAGCCTTCATCTCGTCCTTTTAAAGAAATAAATTGGGCTTTTCAATATTTGGAAGCTGCTCAGCGAGCATATTTTAATTCCTCGCTGAAGCAGAGCGAGGGTTGAACGACACATAAGAGCGTTCTCGCTGGACTTGCTCGCTCAAGCGAGCAAGAATTAATTTTTATTAATTCTTTATTCTCTTGATTTTGATCTTTTCAACCTTTTCCAATCAGATCAGTGATTTGTTACTTTAAATCTGAAATAATATAAAAAAAGATTATAATCTTATCTATTTGTTGAAATTTTAATATCTTTTGAGATTTATTAATTAACATTATATTATTAATCATATTAATCATTATTTAAACTACTCTTGATATTAAAAACATAGTGTCTTTGACACTCATCAGATGTATTTAAACTTTTGTGTTGAATTGGTTCTTTACATCTGTAAAAGTTGGCTTGGTTTTGAAAGTAGAACGCTAGTCATAGTCCGAAGTGCTATCCTTCTGTAATCTGATCAACCAAAAGCATGTTCTATGCTGTCTAAAGCGGCAACAAAATTTTTTTAGAGGGGGAAAAGGTAGTAAAATTTACACTAACTTAAGCAGGGTAGTACGATAGTGGATTAATATGTAACCAGATTTAAAGAACTCTCCAAGTTTTATGCGTTCATGAGAAATAATTAATATGAATGAAAGCTCGAAGGCTTAGCTTGATGTACCTTTATATGAAATATAAATGTAGTCTTAGACAAAGGTTTACATGAATTTGAAATGTAGTCTTGCTCCACCATTGGTCTAGATGACTTTGCACATATGAGGTATAGAAACTTGGAACCATAGTGCAGAGATTTGTGCCATACTCAAAAAATTTAAATAAATCAGTATATGCTAAAAAAGAATGTTATGTGCAAATAGTACTACTATAAAACAAAATTGTATCAATCAATCTTATTTGGAGCCACTCCATGAAATCCCGATGATTCAATGAACCGTGTCTTAAATATACTAGACTAATAAATCAATGATGATTCAACCACAAATCAAATATAGTAATGGACTATTGAGAGCTCGAGCTTTCTTTCTTTCCCGTTTATAGTTGATTTCATACGCACCCACTTATATTTTTTCTCCTTGAAAATGTTTCCTTCAAGTGCACAGAGGATGTGAAGGATGCATTTAGACATAATATAAACAAGTGGGCATCATATCAATTATCAAATCATCTTTTTGGGTCAAAAGTAGCCAAATTCTTGTCACTTAATCTGTCATCTTTCCGAGGTAGTTCAAGCATGATTGCATAATAGTTTTTTTTTTTTTTTTTTTTTAAATATTTAAGAAAATTTTAACTAAATGAACTGTTGAATCCTATGGTCATGGTTAGGTTGTAGATATCATTTTGGACTATACTGAGAGGTGATTGCAGTTGTTCCACGTAATAGCCTATATATGTAGTAATATGGTTGGTACTATTTTGGCATGATGAGGATACATATTTTAAAATATGTAGTTTGTTCTTTTCTTTTTCAAGAAAACACTGTCCAGTTCCAAATTGTACCAAAGAAGACACATTTATGGTATAGTAGTTTGGGATCAAAATAAACCTCCTCAACCCTCTGGTTTGTCATCTGAACTTATAAAACCTAATTACAGATCTGAACTCTAACGGTAAATGTGGATAAAAGTTATGTTAGCAACTTGGAGCTTGATATATACCCTTATTCTTATTATCTTTTTTGGTCTAAGTGGACAAACTTTGCTAGAATTTTTTTTCTAAGAAGGGAAGCCTATGGCTAAGATTGTGTAAAATAATGATCCACACCATTGGAATCTAATTGAGCGAGACATTATTTGGTGTTCCTTAGAGGGAAAAAAATAAAATAAAATAAAAAACGAAAGCAAAATTTTGTTGAGATTTTTATTCATCACTTTTTAGGTGCCTTCTACTTATTACCCTGGAACTACTACACCAAGATTTGGAAAACTATATATTCTAAAAACCATTGCTGTTGTTTTGTGTAATTCTAGAAGCTTGTTATTAAAAGATTCAAAGTTATTTGTAGTTTTCTATCACATGTTAAAGGTTGATATATAAAAGGCTATTTGTGTTTTTGAAAAGCACAGGTAGATCATAGAAGAACTCACTGGAAGGCATGCATCTGACACATAGAATATCAACAGTTAATTAACTCTCCTAACTTTGAAAAACATTTTAGTGGTTATGAGAAATGTTACCTTAAAATTTAAAGGAAGTTAAAGAAGGAGATTTGAGAACAAGAGAGAGAGAGAGAATACATCAAGTTAGCTAGCTCCTAAAGGTCAGAAGTCAAAAAATTTGCAGTTATGTTAGGTAAATCCAGCCTACCTAGTAGCCATCCATACATTGGCCATCTTTTTATGGTATCCTCTTCAGGCCTTGAACTTATTTGGCTGTAGACCATTTATTTACACTAAGGTTTAAATGCAAATATGGGCAAGTTCACTAGTGCACGTTTATAATATGGAAAATATTATCCCATTGGGGAGTGTGACATGACAACTAAATCTCTTATAGTCCAGTCAGTACTAAGGTCTCACATTCAGTTTTCAAATTTATGTTTGTGGTTTTGAGAAGGGGTAATAAGGTATTACTGCTATAAGGATACGTTTGTCCCAAATTTAACTATTTGTCTTTGTATGTGAGCCCTCAATGCTTACAAAAAAATGTTCAAACAATATCCTTTTTTGGTAAGGGGCTACAATTGGGTATATAGGGCAACTCCTACTTTTCAGTGCCTATATATGCTTTCTTTAGACTGTGAGACCAAGGAATGTAACCCTTTATGAGAGTTGAATGAACTGCTGTATACCAAACATACACCTCACATGTCAGAAGGCCAGTTATAAAGTTTGGTTCATTCATTTGTCAAATATCAGTTCTAATCAGAGGCAAGTGTGAGGAAACAAAAAGATAATGAATTGTGTGGCTAAACAGTAGTAATTGAAAGGTTGAAAACAGCATAATGTATACCTTGCTCACTAAGAAAACTACATTTTCATCTTTTTTTCTCCCTTACATTCATGTTCTATGGCTTTACATTGTCAAATGCATATAACACTTTTTAAGCGGGTGGGAATTAAGGTTCATATTTTATTTTTTTTGGGTACATAATTAAGGTTCACATATAGTAGTGAATATAAAGCACCATGCTTATGTGGCGACAAGTGTGGACAAACTAGAAGAATGTGAAATGACAGTTTGTGTAAATAGTATATGTCACAATACTGAGGAAAATTCTAGTTCACCAAGGTTGATGTTTGTAGTAATGGGGGACAAGAGAAAGTGACCATCTAAAGTGGTGTTTGATTTATTTTTTACTTTTATTTTCAGTTAATGTTTTTTATTAATAATTGCAAAAGATTTTAAAGAAATAATAAAAAAAAAAGTTTTTAATATTTTTTTAATAAATTTGTAGTTGCATGTGACACCAATTATCTCATTTGGACATAGTTTTATGTATACATCGTACACTTACAAATAACTGTGGTAATGATGTAAATCAACGAATTTGATTGGTACAATTTCTTGGAATGAAACAGCTGTTGTGCTGAGAAATGGCACACATTTAGGAGAAAATGACAAAAACTTTCCTACAGAGATTTAACTGTGTCAGAAGAAGCATATTAAAATATGTCGGAAGAAGATTATATAATATAAGGTTTAAAATATAAAAATATGTTTACAAAAATCTCACTTCAAAATAATCTTACTGAAAATTTAACTTTTGATAAAATGTAACACCATCTACAAATTCATGATGTAGCTAACTTCACATAGTGAGACAAAACTTGATTGTTATTAATTGAACATAACAGTACTTTTCAAAATTATAGTTTGAAGCAAAATTTCAGAAAACAAACCAACTGATCAAATGTTGAAATAGTTGCAGAAACTAGACAATCAATTTTCATGCACTAAAGAGCTAGGAGGTTCAAGGGAATGTTGAGAATTGCATTCCATTGTATTCTACAAATTGTATTAAAAAAACAAAGAAATAAAGTTGGGGTGGTATTCACACAGACTCACAAAGTAAGGAAAAGAGAAAACTCATATTTTGAAGGAGTTTGCACCTAGACTATGCTTCCGCACTAAACAAGTGCACTTTTCCCACTAGAGCTAAAAAATTAGATAATAAGATAACACAGGTAGGATTCCCAAATTAAAAGGTCTAAAAGCTCCAAAAATATGAAGTGCTTTTTTTCACAAAAAACATGGGCCCTTATTGATATTGGACATTTTTCTCTGTATATGGGGCCAACTAAGGGAACAAAAACTACAGAAGCTTGAGCTGCCACGTGGCCACCTCAAACTGCTCCCATTCATCAATGTAGCTGCAATTCTACAGTATAAATAGTAGTGTAACCCACATTATCCATATACCAATTAAAACATCTAAGAAACTCTTGTCATTTAAAATCACATGGCTGAATTCACAGAAAATTTGCAAAGCTTTAGACCCTCATTTCCTTTCTTAGATGTTGATCCAAGCATGGAACTCCTAAATCAATTCATAGGGATGAACTCACATGTCCTTGACAACTCAAATTTGAACATGCAGAACTTGATGCCTTTCTCCTGTGACAGCTTCTTGGGCCCTCAAGAACATGAGTATCCAGGAAACTTGGAAGAAAGTTTTCCTGGTCTAGTCCATCATGTTAATCACAATGCTGTTCCAGTTTCCCTTCCCATTTTTCCAGCAGAAAATGAAATCCATGAAGGTAAAAAGAGGAAAATAAAGGATACTCCTGAGACCAGTTCAGCAAACTCAACTCCTGCAGTTTCTGAGAATGGAAGCAAGACAAAACAAGTGAATTTCTTCTACTATTTCTCCTTTTATTCTCCATTACTTTTGAATTGGTTTTCTTGGATATTGATTGGTTCTTCTCTCTGAAAATTTTCAGAGCTCTGGAAGAGGAAAGAGAGTAAAAAGCAATGTAACAGAAGAGGAGAAAGCAAAGGAAGTGGTTCATGTCAGAGCCAGAAGAGGTCAAGCAACTGATAGTCACAGTTTAGCAGAAAGGGTATAATTCCTAAATCCCCTTTTGTTCAAGCCAAGAAAGAAATTTTCAGTACCAAACACAAAAAGAAGTTAATCATCAAATATAAATAGGCTCAATGACTTCAGCTACTTTTCTTGCTTCTTTGATAAACATGAATGTGTACTAATACAGTAATACATATCTATTATTCATTGTTATTCAGGTTAGAAGAGGGAAAATCAATGAGAAATTAAGGTGCTTACAGAACATAGTTCCAGGATGTTACAAGGTAAAGACATCTTCCTTTAGAAACCATCAAGTTGTCTCTAACTTCATGAGTCTCACCCTCATATTTTCATTTTCATTAATGGTTGCAGACCATGGGTATGGCTGTAATGTTGGATGAAATCATAAACTATGTCCAGTCTTTGCAGCATCAAGTGGAGGTAAGTGATCAAAAGTCAAAAAATGAAAACATAGTATCCATTTATTGCCAAGAAAAGATAGTTTTAACATAGCCTTAATATCAATTTACATTTGGCTTTTCTTGCAGTTCCTTTCCTTGAAACTTACTGCTGCAAGTACCTACTATGACTTCAATTCAGAGACTGATGCTTTAGAAACAATACAGGTAATTCTAAAATTTTCATGGTCTTATTTAGTGGGGGAAAAAAATTATATGCTGGTTTTAGTAATTGCTCATTCTGTGTGGTAATTAGTTGGTGTGCATGAAAACCTCTAAATTCATATATATGCAAAGTGCTGTGATGAATAAGAATAAGGTTATTATAGGTGGTGAATATAAAAATATACTACTAGACACAGGTATGGGTAGTTGCAAGTTGATGATCAAAGTAGCATAATTATTTTATTTATTTATTTATTTGATTTGTGGCAGAGAGCAAGGGCATCCGAGGCAAAAGAGTTAGCCAAGTATAAGAGAGAAGGATATGGAGGAGTTTCTTGCTTTCAACCAACTTGGCCCCTTTGACTTTAGTTTTGGATGTTTTAACTCAGCAGCCATACAAGACATGAAGAGACTTCATTTGCTCCTTTACTTTTTACAAGTTTTATAGATCAATTTGTTTCCACTCCATGCTACAAGCACAAGTGGACATTCTTGCTTGTACAATCCTTCAAATATATGTAGAAATGAAATGGAAGTAAATAAAAGCCTACGTTTCATATATTTTTTGTGGAACTTGATTGGAATGGTGTGGTTGCAGTTTTAGATTTTACTGTATATGTGCAAATATAGGAAGGCCAATAATCATTGCACAAACAAAATAAAAAATATCACAAAGGAAACATAAATAACAAGAAAAGGGTTTTGTCATGTATTTGTGTCTATGACCAAAGTATGTGTGCACTTTAGGCTAGTTAAGCAGGCACTAAGTATAATTAATTACCACTCTGCATAATTTTTTTTTAAGGATAATAGAAGTTTCAGCCCAATTAATTGAGCTTATCGAAACTTTTGTTTAATCTGTTTGCAATAGCAAGTAAGAGTTAAAATAATTCCAAGCTGCAAAGTTTAATGTATTATTCAGCAAGAATTTAATAATATGGTTTACAATGTGGCCTTTCATTTATGAACAAGCCTGGGGGATATATTTTCACTTAACTTCAAAGTATAAAATATCATGAAAGGATTATTATTCTGATGATTTGCAGTCCAGTCATTCTAAAATTTATTGAGTTTGATGAAATCATGATCATGATTGCAATAACAATGATATCAAACACAACACCCCAACCCAAGTCTTTGTTTTTTTGAGTCCTATGTATTATTCCCTACTTCCCTTATCAATTGTCATAGATATCTACTCTTAACTTGGTCAATCTGAACTTTGAGACTCTTTTAAGTTGAATGTATATTTGGCTGGTTTATGTATATACGGTTCTCTTTTTGCTAGTTGAGCTTGAAAAATCTTACATAAATAACATATAACTAATTCCAAATCTTACTAGAATTCTTGGCTAATTTTACTTGCAAAAACTATTGTGAGAATTTATTCACGTGAATGCGTTTGTTCTTCCAAGTTCCGCACATGGAGCCAGACTGAATTGATGGATCAACTAGAAGGTCCATGTCTTGTAGGACCTACGGCAACAACAATATTATCAACAATGTCTTTTCTTTTTAATAAATATTCCTCTTAGGAGGTTTCCCAGGTTGATTGAGTTTATGTCTGATCCTTATTTAGTGGTTGTTTAGTAACCAATTAACTAAGAGAAATATTCTTTTTTTTTTTCTCTCAAAGAATATTGATAAAGAAATGATTGTTTTTAAAAATAAATTAATCCAAACATCTTCTTAGTCTAGTGATAACATGACCTTGCTACAAGGTATTGTTAATGAAATTTGAACCACTAAACTTGGGGGGGACCCTAAAGCTTGGATTTTCTAATATCATTTTGATTTTATACAATTTGATGATTATGACCAATTTCACTAATGTTCTGCTCCCCATAATCTATTATTTCTATGAAAAAGTAGTTTAAAAATCTTGTTTGTCGGTAAAACAAGGAAATTGCTAATCCATTTTGTCAGTGTAGTGAGGTGTGTGAGAGCAACAAATTCTAGTAATATGACAAACCACAAGCCAAATCCAAAAGAAATAGTGTCCATGGAACCCACTAAGACCATTGAATGAATAAAATCTTGTGGATGTTGCCAATTCATTAAGTGAATGATTGAGGACAGAAAATATTTATAAGATTATAGCATATTTGTTGTCATTGTTTAATGGAAGGGGGAAAGAGGGAGGGTTAGATGCATTGCATCCATGAAATTGGGAGAAGAAGAGGACAGCTTGAATGGGCCATAGTGTGCTCAAAAGAGGATGGGCAATGTGGGTTCTCCATCTTCCAGAAAATGATAAGAACTTGTGAACCTTTAAAGCCACTTTTTTTTTTTGCTTCTTCACTCCAACTCAATCTTTCTTATTTGACCCACTTTTGACCATGGTGTTTCCTTGTCTCTTAGAGCTAGCATGCATGAATAAGGGTGGAGGAATATGGACTTAAAGGGTCTCACTTAAAGTTAAGTTGATGCTTGATAAATGGGTATATCATATATTCCCAATATGGACTTAAGATTTGGAGACACATGTGTTAGGAGGTGGTAGTTGGAGAGTAAGACTAGTAATTAAGTTGGGCAAGTTCAAGGACCCAATTACAAGTATAGTGGGCTCATGATCAAGCTTTTGAAGTGAAAGTGGAAGTTGTTAGCTAGTCAGGTATACTATAACCCCACCAAATTAGCCAAATGGAAGCTAAACTATCAGTATCTGTTTGTAATGTATGGTCTTGGATTTTTAACATTCAAAAGAAAGTTCATGACTCTAGAATTGAAACAATATCACCTCATTTTTGTTGTTATCTTCTTAAAAGCAACATGTTCACCTCTCACACTATTAAGGTCAAGTGGTGTTGACTTGGCAGGATAGGTTTCATACCAAAATTATGACGGCTGTCTTTTCATGCTATTGCTGAGGGATTTTAAATTTGTAACCAGTCATTCTATCCATTACATGGTAATAATTTAGTTTCCATCAGCCCCCATTTGCACATCCGTAGCTTTTGGCTCTAGATTTTTATTTTATTTTTGGATAGATGACAAGTTATTTTTGTAATTTCAACCCCAATTTGTTAAAGGCCAAAAATTTCCTAGTTTCTTTAAGGGGACATTTGGTACATAGATAAATTTTAAATTTTCGATAAACTGATATTGAAAATCTTATTTACTTAAATTTGTTATAAATTTTGACCTTGGTGTTTCCTTGTCACTTAGAGCTACCATGCATGAATAAATGGGTATATGGGTGGAGGAATATGGACTTAAAGGATCTTAAAAGTTAAGTTGATGCTTGATAAATGGGTATATCATATAACGGTTTTATAAGACTCATTGTAGAAAAAGTGATTGTGTAATGTTACAGAGATTCGTTTTGCGTGCCATAATTTTTTCTTTTTTTTTTTTCTTCAAAAATGTGGGCCCCAAAATGTTATGTGTGTAAAATAATTTGTGGTGTCATATTAAATGACAAATGCAAACCCCATCATATAATTCCAACATGGATTTAAGATTTGGATACACAAAATTTTTCGGACAATAATACCCTGTGTTTTCGAGCCACCTTTCTATCTCAGATGTATTCCTTCATTTATTTTTATTTTTTTTGGTAACAGTATTCCTTCATTTTTGCTTTTGGGCGTTGCTGTCTGGGTGATGTTGTTCATGATTATTTCTGGGTTCTTTTTAATCCAGATCTCTAACTTTTTTTTATATTCTTTCATCTCTGTTTTTCTTTCTTTCCCTTTTTCTTGATGTGTTTTCATGTGTTTCTTTAGCTGTCGACTCACCGATTAATGGTGTTTTTCTGGCGACCTTATTACGCGTGTGAGAAACTTTGGATTACTAGTGCTTTTGTCTGTATAATTTTTTTTTAAGATAAACTTACCACCAAAAAAGTTTACAACATTTACAACTAATTTAATTACAGTTGATTTCCGTTAATCTAACGATTATCATTTATTAAAAATTATTGGGTTGTATTTATTAATTAATTATTAATTCCAATAAATGATAACCGTTAGATTGACGAAAATCAACGGTGATTAAATTGGTTGTAAAGGTGATAAACTTGCCCCTTTTTTTTTTGAAAAGTTTAAAAATATCCTCATGTATTACTTTAAATCACTTACATCCTATACTTTCTTTTTAATCACTATTCAAACCTCTCCTCATCACTATTAGAAAATTAACTAAATATACTTATTTTATCATTCTTAAAAAAAATATAAAGTGATACAAAAGAAAAAGAAAAAATAAGACCAAATGTTATGAAAATTAAGAACACTTAATAAAAAACAAAGAGAAAAAAATAGTAAAAAAAAATCAAATGTGTCAAAATAAAAAAAAAATAGAATAAGAACAAAAAGATAGAAGAAACCAAATGATAGTAGCTCAATTGACGCATGATAGTTGAATATGTAGTGGTTGGAGCATGTGTTTGATCTTTCCAGTACCATTTTTGGGAGGGGTTCAAAGCTTTAATCTTGGACCTGTCCTGAACAGGATTGCTTCCAGCGGAGGATACTTGTGGTTTATTAAAAAAAATAAAGAAGAAAAAATACGACCAAATTATTAAAAATCATAACAATGACAGAAAAGACTAAAATCTAAAAATAAAATAAAAATTATCCAAGTAAAAAAAACATACTTAAGACAAAAAAATTAGAAGAAAAAATTAAGATAAAAAAATAGAATAAAAAGAAATTACAGTTACGAGTTTTCAATATATTTAGTTTTATTTTTTTTATTTTTTTCTCCTTGGTCTATTTTATTCTTTTTTATTTAAATATGTATGGTCTTTTTTGTATTTTTTGGTCTGTTTTATTCTGATTTTCTTCTAGATTTTTTTTAGTCTTGGGCCACCCAATCTACTAAAGATTTTAGTAAAAAATAATTAAAAACAAAAGAGAGAATAAAATAGAGATATAAAAAAGACCAAATATATATAAATAAAAAGAATAAATAGACCAAGGACAAAAAAAATATAAAGGCAAATATATTGGAAATTTATAATTATGATTTCTTTTTCTTCTATTTTTTTATTGTTTTTTTCTTTGTCTTTTATTAAGAGTTCTAATTTTCATAACATTTGCTCTCTCTTTTTTTTATCACTTTACTTTCTTCTTCTAAGAAAGGTAAAATATGTATACTTAATTAATTTTCTGACAATGTTAAGAAGGGTGTGGATGGAAAAAATCACAAGGGATTAGGTGATTAAAAAAAACGTCGGGGTACAAGTGATTAAAAGCAATACTACATGGAGGTTTTTGAACTTTTCCCTTTTTTGAAGGGTTTTTTTTTTCTGTAAATGCAGACAAGTTATTTGCATTGAGCCCAAAACGACGTAGTTTTGGGGTAAAAATTAAGGTATTTTTATAATTATAATTTATTTCAAGGTTATAATAGCCTTTATCATTATAATTTTTTAATATTTCAATTCAAAACGACGTCGTTTTGAGATTGAATATAGATAACTTATGTGCATTCACCGTAGAAATATTAAAAC